TGTGGTTGTTGTTGTTGTTGAGGTGGTTGTTGTTGTTGATGCTGTGGTTGTTGTTGTTGTTGTTGATGATGATGATGAGGTTGTTGTTGTTGATGTTGTGGTTGTTGTTGTTGTTTTTGTTGATGAGTTGGTTGTTGCTGTTGTTGATGATGATGAGGTGGTTGTTGTTGTTGTGTTTGCAAGAGCGTTGGACCTGTCTGCTGTATCATCGTGCCGGGGGCCGGCTGAGAGCCGGCCTTTGAAAGCGAATGACCGAGTGCTGCCTGTTTTTGGTTGATTGGGTTGTCAGCATGTATGCCGTTTTGCGTGTGTTTCGTCGGTTAAGTGGGCTTTGGATGGACGAATCGGGTGATATGAATGCATGTGGCGAAGTGGAGCATATGAAGGCACAAATGGACAAGCGAAAAACGCGAGAACAGATGCAGATGGGGTTAGCATCGAAGCAACGGAAACACGAGACAAGGTCGTCATGAGCTGTGGCCGCCTCGGTCATGAATGCATTTTTTATAAGATTATGCCAGAGAAAATGTAAACCTTTACGGTAAAAAGAGGAGTGTTGTAGAAAATGTGGAGCCTTTATTCTCGTCATTTCGAGCTCCACAAGTTAGCCAATACTCGGACTTTTGTAGTAATTATTACAAAAAATGTATTCAACTATAAAGCATAAATTAATTTGTCCAAATGAATATTTGCCAATTATAATACTTACACCCATGACTGTGGTGACCTGTGCTGGCTGTGGCTGCGATAATGGCGCTGGCAATGGCGGTTGTTGTTGTGGCTGCGCTACTGGCTGATACTGTATTTGCTGCTGAGGCTGCTGTTGCTGGGGCGGAGGCTGGGGTCGAGCTGGCGGTTGCGACCTGACGACTGGAAGGGCTTGTGGAGCTGGAGGCGCCGGTGAGGGTGGAAGGCTGCTGCGGCTGGTGCGCAGGCGCGACTGGACGAGCGAATAGAGCGCCTCCGTCTCGGCCACTTCAGCGTCGGTAGCCTCTCTGCCCTTCCATTCAGAGGCTGTATGGAGAAGATGGGATAACTCGACAACATGACGTGTCATATCACATTTTTGTGGCAGAAGTGTCGATGAAGAAAATTGGCTTCTTTTACTTTATTGATTTGCACTACTTATTGTACTACTTGTGTGTAATTGCATTTGTATTACTGTATTCAATCGCAGTATTGTATTTAAATTGCTGTTTCTTTAGTGCATTATATGATTTACATTATTTGCATTATTGCATTTCTATTATTATAATATTGCATTGAATTATTGCTTTGCATTACCTACTTGGATACTGAGTCGGTTTTGAGACTGGCAATACATCTGAAATAAGAGTTCTAGCCATCCTAGATGGCATCATAGTATGAAAGACTGATAGTTGGTGTTCTTCAAAGTCATGCAAATAGGTCTCACATGAATCGAATCTGGGTTATGAAACGCTTGTTTGTGACATTCAATTTGTGGCAATTGGCCACCGGAAGAATGTGAATTTCAAGTCTAACTAAGCCTCTACAATATCACATTTTTGTAGTGGCATTTTCGATTAAGCAAATTTTTTTATGTCTTACTACATTCAGCTGCATTGCTCATGTGTAAATTAAGTAGGTTTCGAGAGCATCCATACAATTTGGATAAGAAATGTATTCACGACTTTAGGTCGCTTCAGGTGCTGGAAGTTTGATGGTTGAAGCCTTCCACATTCATATCAGTAGGCCTCACGATGCTGTCGAGTTTCATTTAGCCTTTTACCCCAAAAGGTATCTTAATTCTGGCTGAACTGGAGGGCATTTCCGACCTCGCCTAATTGGTCCAAACAGCAACACCAGCTGGATTTGAACCCCGAAAGTGAGTATCATGGCGTTGTTACTAGTTCACTCGAAAACACGACTACGGGTACCGGTGGGTCCACAGGACAAATGTGACATTTGAGGTAAGCCAGGCCTCTTTTGACTCATTAAAAAAAAGAGATTACCGATTAAGCGAAATCGACAGTGTTACTTATAGTCGATTTAAGTAGTCTTAGAAATAAGAACTGAAATCACCTTAAGCGCCCTTGAGCGACTAAGATCTTAATCTAGCACAGAAGGCTAGATATTTTGCAAATAATTGTCAACTAATTCTTGGCTGACTACTCCTTAACGTTGCTAAGGTATACATGCTTAGTCTTAGTCTGGTGCTAAATCTCCCAATTCTCTGTCTCTCTCTCTTTCCAGCATGCACTTTGTATAGGCTAACCGGAAAGGGAATACTAGCAATTGGCACTCTCTCGGCGTAACTCGCTACCTCAGGACCTACTGCCATCTTAAGACAAAGAGTAGCGATTATAAAACCAGCATAACTTACCCCGTTCGACCTTCCTGAGGTTGATTGCCTGAGCCTTTGGTCTATTCATTTTATTCTTCAGTTCCGGTGAACACTCTACACGTCGAAGAGCAATTAGTTTTTTGAAGGGATTTTCTGCAAATGCACGAGAAAAGAGGAAATAAAGAAGAATCAAGAGTAGAGGAAGAGAGAATGGCAAGTTAAATTGCGAACATTTTGCACTACAATGGACTCAAATAAAAAGTCCTCTCCTCGAGGTACTTTCATGACACTCTAGAGACTAAGAGACTCTGAAGCGGGATCGAACAAAAAGTGTCTCAACAAGTGGGCACAATAAAAGTAAAGGTTTTAATCTTCACTGACCCGTTATTTTACATATTAATGGATCAATATAGTCAAGGTGATTACAATTAACTTGCAGAAGATACCAAAGCCGATATCATACACACATTCAATGTGAGCATGCCTCGAAACTACAAGTTATTGTTGAGCCTTTTACTCAAAGTCGCCTATTTCGTTTAAGTTAATAAAGGGCTGGTAGGAGAATTTACCCATAATGGTATGAATAGAGCCGACGTTTCCATTGAATTTCGCAAAAGTTGTTCTCATCCAGGCACCTCGCCTCGGTCTTATCAACACCCCTGGCGGGAGTCGAACTGTGAAAGTGATGAATGTGACTTTGACACTTTAACCACTCGGCCACATTGCCACGGGGAAGATGTCAATTTCAAAAGAGGCCAGGCCTTTTTGCATATCACATTGTTTGGTGGGATTGTCGATGAAGCAAGTGTATTTTTGCTATAGCAATTGACTATATTACTTATTTTCCTTTTATAAGTAGGCTTTTGTGTCTAGCAGCAAGTAGGGTATATGAAACTTATATTCGTAAGTAAGTAGGATTTCGAGACTACCAGTAAATCAGTGTAATGAGATGTATTCACCCTATTTCGTCTAAG